GTTGTGTTTATACCTGCAGAAGTTATGGGTATCAAGACCGATTCAAGAATTTCAAGAGACACAAAAAAAAGATACCAAATTTGATGATAAGCAGAACACTCAACAGGATAACAAGAGGAGATTCTGACATCAAAAGAGTTGTAGGAAAGCTCCAATATTATGGGAAAAGACAACAAAGAATCTGGGGGTTATAAGGATTATTGCAGAGGGTTACAACCTCAAGTTTATAGGGAAACCAAATGCAAAGTTTCTGATTTCATAGTACCCATCAAAAATAAAGGTAGAATCTCTTCTGGCAGGAGCTATATCATTCCTAAAAAAGGATGTACTGGAAAAAGCTCCCAAGAATACAAAGGCGTATATACTCACCTATTTTTGGTACCAAAGCAAAATCGGTCGGTACATCCAGTAATGGATTTAACACAAATGAAAGAAATAATTCCCTATGTGAAGTTTCGAATTGAAATTATTCTTGCAGCAACTCACATTTTGCAAAGAGGGGACTTTATGGCCACATTAGACCTCATGGACGCTTACCTTCATATCCCAATGGCAGCAAAATCCAGAAGACTTAAGATTTGCTGTAAAAGTGGGTACAAGTTTTTTACCATTTCCAGTCCCAGTTCAAAGCTCTTCCCAAAACTTCTCATCCCTCATACGGCAGCTCTGAGAGAAGGAGAAATCTCGATGATCCCTTATGTGGATGACTGGTTGTTGAAAAGCATGGTTGGATCATCAATCGGGAAAAGTTGCAGCTACAACCTTCAGTGAAAGAACGTTCAGTTTCTGGGTTTCCTGATAGATTCAAACACACTCTCACTTCATCTGACACAAGAAAGAAAAAAGAATGTAAGAAAAATATCCTTCTTGCAAAAAGCTTCAAGTTGTTCCATAAGAAGGGCGATGAGTGTCCTGGGAATTTTGACAGCATCCATTCCAGCATTAAATGGTCAAAAGCAGCCATGAGACCCCTTTCAATGGGAAATCCTACTGAAGTGGTCCAAAATAAAGAAAGATTTAGATAAGGAAATTGTTCTCTCCACTCAACTCCAAAACCAACTATCATGGTGGAAAAAGTCAAACTTCATTTTCAAGAGGCCTTTTCTTCAAGCAAAACATCTTCCATGATTCCCATAGTTATACAGAAACTCAGAAGAGACAGAGCTCTGGTACTTGCTATAATTCCATACTGGTTTTCGGAATTGAAGACTATAGCAATCGAGTTTTGGGAACGTCCATCATTCCTTCCTCTTCTAGAAAACAAGCATTTTCCTCTAGAAGCAATTCAGTTCAGATTCACAGGATGGCTGCATAAAGGGTTAATTCTCAAACATCATAGGATTCAGGTAAACAGAGTGAATTTACTTCTAGGCTCCACCAGCAGATCAACATCCAACATTCAATATATACCTAAGAATATGGTGGAAAAAATGTCTTCGCTGATGTTAGGAACATGACTGCCTTCATTGGTCTCCTTTGACAGATACTATTTTACATTTCCTCCAGGATGGTTTTTCATCTTCAAAAGTGAAATTGCCAGCATCTGATTGATCAGGAGATTTTCCCTTTCTGTGATCTATCTCTGGTTCTCAATGCATTATGCAAAACTCCATTTGACCAAATTGAAGAAATCCCAGAGAAATATATTTCACTAAAAACAGTGTTTCTAGTGACAGTTGCCTCTACTAATAGAGCATGAGAATTCCAAGCCCTTTCTTCTTCAGAGGACTTTATCATCTTCCATGATAAGGTCATTTTAAACCTTTATTCCTGCCTATGGTTTAATGAAATAGAGTTATCAACCAGGATATTGTTCTACCTTCTTTCTGCAATTCCTCTGCATCTCCTCAGGAACAAAGGCGGCATACCCTTGATGTCCGCAGAACATTACAGACATATCTGGGTAGAAAATCTGATAATTTCTTTATTAGTTTCCCAGGAAAAGCTCAAGATAATACGATCTCTAAGCATTCACTGACCAGATAGCTTACAGAAACAGTCACATTATGTTATAATTCAAGAGGTCTTCAGTCTCTGATTTCTGTTAGAGCACATTCAACAAGAGGTATGGCCATGTTCTGGGCAGAACAGGCAAACGCTTTTCCTGACGATATCAGCAAGGCAGCCACATGGTCTAGATTAAACACCTTTTATCAAGCACTACAGGATAGACATTTTCCTCCTCAGAGGTTTTTTTGTGGGCACAAAGTTCTTCAATCCATCTTGTCCTTATGCGTGCTACTGGGAACTTTCTATATACCACTTCTATTGCCACCATATGTTAGGAAAAACAGACATTTTTACTTACCGAAGATTAATTTTTTCTTCATATGGTGGCAGTACAAATTCCCTACCTACTTTTCACAATAAGTATTTTTTGCATTTAATTGAAGTCTGCATTATTTCTTGGTATGAGCTGACATTTAGGTGAGAATGGAATCCTATATAAAGTGAGCAGGATGGGTCTTGCTAATTTTAAAATTGATTGTCCCAACAAAGGAGGCACAACCAACTTGTTGTACTGCCACCATATGCCGGTAAATATTTATGGTAAGTACAATTTTCTGTTATTTACATCATATTTCCTTTTGCAACCAGATGTCCATCCGCACCATCAGCTTGGAATTTGCAGAAATCAGCGGGATCTTGGTACCCCCATCTACTATACAGAGAAGCCTGCTCTAAAACAGTAATTGTGGAAGACCTGCAGCCAGGAAGCCTTACCTCAAATGTGGAAACAAGGCATAGCAGCTTAACTATGCATGGGAACCCCCCCCAAAAAAACACCTGCAGTCCAGAAAAATTTATTAAGATGCGCTGGCCTAAGGAATACAAATTACATATATGGCTGTAACAGAAGGCAATTTGTCAAAGTGCAGGAGAGCAGTATGAGAATGAGTGCCTGCATGCAACATGGTACATTCCTTGCAAGTTTGTGGCTTTATTTCAGCAAATGGAGTGTAGGATTTGGTCAGAATTACTGGTCTCCTCAATGCTGAGAAGGACAGGCAGATGCTGATCCATTATAAAATACCATGAGGAAGGCATCTTACTTATTCAGCAGCATGACAATAACCCCAAAAAACCAAAGTCATATAAAACTATCTTCAGCGTAAAGGAGAACAAGGAATCGTGAAATGATGGTATGGTCCCACAGAGCACTGGTCTCAACATATTGTCAGTCTAGGATTACATAAAGAGAAGTAATTAAATTACAGAAAAACTGGTTAGTTCTCTAAAAGGGTTTTGGAACAACCTGCCTGCTGAGTTCCTTATAAAACTATGTGCAGATGAACCTTGACAAATTCATGATGTTTTCAAGGTAAAGTGTGGTCACACAAGATATTGATTTATATTTTAATTCTGTTCACTTACTTTGTATTTTGTTAATTGAAAAAAATAAACAATTTTAATTATAAAAGTAATTAATTTACAGCATTTGGCTAAAAGTATAAAATTGTAGGCACCTACTTATGCTAGGTTACAAAATGTTTCATATTTTGCTTCCTACCAATGTACCCTATTTTGTGCAGTGCACCATTTTAACTATAACCCCATTATGAAGCGATTTAAACCTGGTGTTTGGTTAAATTGCCTTTATAATACATAAAACAGAAAAAGCTTGAAGGTGCTGCTGGACCAATTCATATAACTTACACATGCTGGATGATTAGAACTACTAAACTTCTTAAGCTTTAAATAAATTGTCCATTACCATCCATTCCTGTGGACAGTCAGGAGCTGCTAGAGGCCTGCAGCCTGGAAGGAAAATGGAATGTTACAGACTCCAATCACTCAATAGGATCATGATGTGGGTGTGTTTTACAGGAAAATAATTCCATCAAGAGATACTGGAGGCATGGTAAGCAATAAACTGTAGTGTTACGGTGCCAATGGTGCTGTAACACTGTTCCAAAGTGACATTTTAAATTTAGTACAGTTTGACAAATTATTTAGGTTCTTCTGGGCACCTGCTATTACATTCCTTGCATCCATTTTTCTACTGCAGGAGAATCTGTATTGCTGGGCAATGCAGGACTGCGCTAATTGAACAATGGTGTCACTTCAGCTAATGTGTGGTCCAGCATTGGCCGTGCTGTACTCTACAAAGACATCTGGCTTCTCCTGTAATAGAAAACCAAATGTGGTGGGTGCAGCTTTGTGGTAAGATACCAAACCAAGTATCACGTTACTGTAAGACCAGCAGGGTACTTCTGGCACTATAACAACTGCAGCACCTACTAATTTTTGAATGGTTTAAATACCTATAGAAAAAAAAAAAATTGTAAATGTGACTGGTTTGTTAACCAAAATACCTCAGATCCATTAGGTATGCCCCTTCTCGGTCTCTCCACTCTGCCTGTGACCTTCTCCTGTACAGCCAACTCGCCCTTGCAGGACTTCTCGCGGGCGGCTCCCTTCCTATGGAATAGCCTGCCTACCACAATCACACTCTAGCCTAGTCTTCAATCATTTAAGAAGTGCCTTAAAATACATCTCTTTAGGAAAGCTTATGAACTCCCAGACTAACCTCTACCTCACATACTGGTCTCTTGCTCTCTCCTGAATGGCAGCACTCTACTCTCTCCTCCAGCTCTGCTTCACTCCCACCTTATTTGATTGCCATTTCCTGTCCTATTGTGTTTTATACCCCACCCCCTATAGACCGTAAGCTTGTTTGAACAGGGCCCTCTTCAACCTATCATTCATGTACGTTTTCTTGTAATGGTCCTATTTATAGTTAAATCAACCGTCATAATATTGTAAAGCGCTACGCAATCTGTTAGCTCTTTATAAATGACAATAATAATAATAATAATGACAGGTCTTCCCTATTAAAGGCATCAGGTTTACCAAGTCCACCATTTGATTAAATGTGATTTATTTTGCATTAGAGAGATCCTAAAACAAGGACAGGCCAAGTCATAAGGCCACATTTAGTCTAACATAGCCTATCACTCCACCATATTAGTAGAACTGAAATTAAGTTTTCAAGTGTAAGCAAATAAGTGCAAGCATAAACAGAAGAAAAAACAAAGCAAACAGATTTGGTCTTTTAAAACTTTATTTTTTGACATTCATTCACTGGTGGAAGTTGTCCCAAAGGCCATGGCTACTTCAGGAAAAGTGAAGAAAATGTTTGTTTACTTTGTAAGAAAAGCATATAATTTGATGTGTAATACGCCAGAAGGTCTTTGAAGACCTAGTTGAGCAAACCTCCAGTGTTGAGGATATTGCTCAAATATAAATTAGAATTAGGCAAATGCTAAATGTCTGGTGCACACTGAATATATCCAAATTGATAGAAATTCCTTACTGGGCATGTGGCAGGTGTTTCTGTCTGGTATATCAAAAACATTGCTAGCAGCCTTCGAGTCTTTTCCTCTGTTTAGTCCTCATCCACCGTTGGCTTGATTGTCACACCTCGTCTGATTTGACCCCAGCCAATCAATCTAGAAGAATTATAAAATACAGAATTAGAACAAAATCAAATACTTAATCAAGTATTATTCACTGGAATTCTAAAAACTGCAAACTCCCAAAAATTAAAATATTGATTAAAATACAGTTGAATAATTTCTACAACTCTTTTCACCAAATATATTCCTATGAAAACACATTCTGGCCATTTGATAGTGCTAAAACCAATATCCATTCACAGACATAGGTTTAAGTGCTTTTTGAGTATGTGATTACAATTAAATAAGGTTCTAAGAGGAGGAGTTTATTAAATTTTGTCTTTAAAATTATATTTACTTATGAAGCCTTTACTATCCCATTCTGGAAGCTATTTCAAATGAATATATTGTTATTGTAATTAGCTGTTCAGAGCAGGCAAACAGATGATGTAAGAAATCTGCTGGTTTATTCTTTAACAAAGACTTCTCCAAAGCCCTCTAATGTAACAATTACACAAATCTTACCTCCAATGTTTTTCAACTCTTCTGCTAAGAGCAATTTTCTCCCCCACTTCTGTGCATACTGGATTTGTAAGCACAATTTTTCCTAAATCAGCTTTCACTGCACTGACGCGGCCTCCGGTAGACAGGGAGCCAATGTTCACCATCAGCACTTCGTTCTTAGACAGCTTTTGTACCTGAAATGCAACAATACACAGTATGTTCATAGGTTTCTGTAATTTAAGTCAATGAAATGGGACTAGCTCAGTATCTGTATGCATTCAAGTTTATGTATATATTTAGGAGAATACATTACCTAAAAATAGGTTACAAATCTGACACACAAAAGGTTTTAGAACTATAATAATAATAATAAAACAAATGCATTAAAGTACACACCTTTGCTGCCTTCTTGTCTCCTTCTGTACGGACACCCAACAGCCGTCGCAGAAGGAAATAGGAGATTTCAAGCTCTGTGAAGATTTCAGGCAGAGCACCTACAGCCCCTAGAACTTGTCCAACCATACGATCAGCTCGACACAAGGTTGGGTCAATCTTGGTTCCTACACCTGATCGACAAAAGCAGACGTACAAGTGAGTTTTTTAATCAGTAAAGGGCAAACTGTTCTAATAGGACACACAATATTTGTATTTATACATGGAAATATATTAGGTTGAAATGCATCTTATTTTGCCAGCCGTGCAGTGCATTAATTTAAGGAGAAGCAAGAGGTCTTTAAATGAAATTGTACTTGCACCTTTTAAACCCCTTAAGAATGAAAGCCACTGTCCACATTCTGAGCCAAAGCAAAGCCTTTTGACCTATAGGTTTGTTCCACCATAATGTAATCTTGTCAAGTGCCCCCATACAAAAAAAAAAAAAAAAAGTAGAAAAGTATTGTGACTGAAACGTCGACATTTTTGTATTCTGCACAATAAAGCAGTATTTATTTTGATATAAAACGAATATATATAGCATCCAAGTAGAGAGCACTCTGGAGTCTTCGTTTTATATCAAAATAAATACTGCTTTATTGTGCAGAATACAAAAATGTTGACGTTTCAGTCACAATACTTTTCTACTTTTTTTTTATATATATATCTTTTTAAAGTGCAGAAAGGAAAGAGCTTTTATGATAAAATGTTAAATTGGGGGTGTAGTTGAATAATTTTGACACATCCAGCGCAACTAATTAAAACGAACAATATATAGAGATTCATATATCAGTCCTGATTGTTAAATGCACAATACGTTTAGGATAGAACTTAATTTTTTATAGTTACTGCCGACTCTACACCAATCCCCACACTAATGCTATACCAACCATACCGCTTACCCAATGCTTACACCAACTAGTTGTATGCCTATCCGGTTATCCTTAACTTCAACCCTAAAATAACAAAAAAGGATTAATCTATACCTAACATTACACCTTAACCTAAGCTCAACCCCAAGGTAACACACTGTTAATATCAATTATGATAAATACAGTAAAGCTGATTTTCTATTAACACATTAGATGTGGTATATTACCACCATCTACTGGCAGTTTTTAGAATTACAATTACTGTAGTTACAAATGAGCAGGGTTTGTAGCCGAATATACAGAGATCGGTGCTTCGAACCTGTCGAAGCTCAGAACCATATTGGTTGGGGACAGAATGGGTGATACTGCCAGTGTTCATTCAGACGCTAGAGGGTCCCGACAATGCTGCCAGCACCCCAGAAAAACTGTGATTAAGCGTGATTGCACTCAGCCGAGCTTTTATGAAGGAGTTAAAGGGCTGCACAGGGCCTCTAACAGATGGGCCTTACTGACTGATAGGAGTCCCAGGTAACCATGGATTTAACCATGCTCACACCGCAATCATTTTAATAGTTATTTAAAATGTCTTGTCAAATTCTGAGACCACTAAAAATGGTTGCAGAAGATAGAGGGGAACACCAAGTATCCATCAATACCCGGGACTCCCTGGTGTGAGCAGGGATTTAAACTGGCATACACTAAAAATGAAAAAAAGACTCGTCATTACGACCTAAGAGCATTAAGGCCCATTATAGTTGGGACATAATAACAAGCCACAACATCCTTAAGAGGGTTAAATAATGATATTTAATATTTTAATCCTGGTCCCATGTTTGCACAAGTCCCCAAATGTAACACCTCTGGCCACACAATTAAATGTGAATCCATGTAGAGTATGGGAATATTGGACTTTGAACTTCATAAAATAGTATAGATTCTATACCTCTGCAGTATCTCTAAGGCAATGCAAATGTACAACACTAGTTTTAGTAGGAATTGTACTTAAATTTATATTTTTTTATTTTAATTTTCTGGTTTTACTATTTTTATTCCACAGATTATAAACATAAGTACCCAGTTGCTACCAAACTCAGGAGTTAATAGCATGTTATATAACGCTCTCCTCTTTAACAAAGTTAATGTCAGCCTACACGAATTTCAATCACGCTTAATGCCTTACCATTCTCTGACACAACTTGTATTAACCAGTTTGTTAATTAAAAAGGTGCAGTTTTCTTATATGCCACAGTATTATACCTTGCTGTCGTGGCAAAATAAGCATGTCTGTCAAACTTTTGCACAAAAAAAAATAAAATAATTGAATTAAAATTTTTTTATAAATAGTAGAGATTGTTCCCTGCCACAACAAAAGGAAACTGAAATCTGGAGTAACAGACTAGACTACTGCAGGCTTTAGAAACAACATTAACTGTACAATGAACAACCACAAATCTCATTACGACAGCAGCACTACTACTCTCAGTAAAGTAACACTGATATTTTTAAACCTTTGCCCCTCTAATTTAAGACTATGTCCTCTTGTTGTGGTAGTTTTTCTTCTAACTATAATCTCCTCCTTTACTGTGTTGATTCCTTTTATGTATTTAAATGTTTCTATCATATCCCCCCTGCCTCATCTTTCCTCCAAGCTATACATGTTAAGATCCTTTAACCTTTCCTGGTAAGTTTTATCCCGCAATTCATGAACCAGTTTCGTAGCCCTTCTCTGAACCCTCTCTAAGGTATCAATATCCTTCTGAAGATACGGTCTCCAGTACTGTGTACAATACTCCAAGTGTGGTCTCACCAGTGTTCTGTACAATGGCATGAGCTCTTCCCTCTTTCTACTGCCAATACCTCTCCCTATACAACCAAGCATTCTGCTAGCATTTCCTGCTGCTCCATTACATTGTCTGCCTGCCTTTAAGTCATCAGAAAATCACCCCTAAATCCCTTTCCTCAGATGCTGAGGTGAGGACTCTATCAAATATTCTGTACTTTGCCCTTGGGTTTTTATGTCCAAGATGCATTATCTTGCACTTATCCACATTAAACGTCAGCTGTCACAGCTCTGACAATTTTTCTAGTTTACCCAATTCATTTGCTATTTGGCTTATCCCTCCTGGAACATTAACCCTGTTACATATATTAGTATCATCAGCAAATGCATATCCCAGCATAGCTTCATTAGGTTTGATCAACAAAGTAGTGTGGAAACAAACTGCGCAATTTTGCTTCAAAAGCCTTTAGAAAGGGGGCGGGGCCGGGCCGCCGAGCAGCATGGCAGCAGAACACTGTGGCTCCGAGCTTAAGCCCTAAACAACGGCATAAAACTTACTCACAACTTGCCCCAGGGCCGGATTGCATGCTGCACTACAATGGGGTACTACCCAAGCACCCATATGATACCAGATTACAGCCCCCAAAAATTCACAGGGAACACTGAGACTGCTGAACCGGGCCTACACGCCTGCATAAGCCTGCATGAGGACAGCTGCAGACAGAGAATAGACGCCTGATTGCATGGCCGGAGGTACAAGCACACCAACTATGCTATGCACATTGGGGGAGATCTACACGGGTGAGAGCTGCGGCCCGGCCCCCCCCCCCGGCCGGTGGGGGTAATCCCGGCTACATGGAGGCTGCACGCCCTGGGGTGGAGACAGCCGCCCGGAGTGCTCGCTGACCTCCTGCACAGGCAATGGCTGCCAACCCGTGGCCCGCCCGACATCTACACTCGGAATTAAGAGACGATTATTGCCTACGCTACAGGATCGATACGTACCCTGGACTTAACGGCCTACAATAGCCCTGCTTTGCCATCAGAAGCTGTCCTGTGGATGCAACACCCGCGGGTGAGGTGGGGCCCCGGGGGCGATGCACGTGGGCGGGGGAGCCAGGCGGGATGCTGCTGCGGTGTCCTTGGGGCACACTGGCCGGATGCCGCGACCCTTGGACTGAGCCCTGCGGAGACCGAAGTGCCGTCACCTGTGGGTTTTGAGGAGGGCCTGCAGGCAGCTGTCCCCGACGCTGTGAGCCCTCGTGGAGTAGAACGCGGCAGCCCCCGGCAGACCGGTGGCTGTGGGGAGGCCGGCGCCTGCCCCGAGTGGCCGGAGAAGGATGAGACACAAGACGGCCTTCACCCTGACCATCTGGGACCCCAGTGGTGTAGTGGGGGTGCAGGGGATTACTGACTGGCACACGGACTTTAGGTGGTGGGGCCCGTGGACTGTTGGATCCCCGAGTGCCCGCTGTGCTGCAGAACTCCCGGATGGAAGCTTGGCGCGGCCTGGGGGGACGCCGCGGAGGCCTGGCGCCCCTGGGATCAGCCGCAAATGCATCTGCAGTCGGCTCCCCCCGCTTGGGGGGGTCGCGTCCGTGGCCCCTCAATGCTTGTGGACTGAGTTGATACACGCTGTTCATGACAGGCAGCAGTAAATGTTTTTTCTTCTTGTCGTTTATTCACCATATAGAGCTGTACATTATGCAGCATCATGTTTTATATACGTTATGCTCCTGTCTTATGCTTGATGGTCTTTGAGGACTGAAAAGCCTCAGTAATAGGTTCATGCTATAATGCTGCCTGCTTAATATATTTTACTAGTCTTGCATACACTGTCCATGCAGCAGTGCTCATATGAGCTTAAGTTTAAGGCCACAAATTCTTAGATAATCTTATATTTGTAACTTAGATAAGTTTTGCGTACCTCCCCTGCGTGGGATGACCGCTTATCCAACATCGCAACTCTCACAACATGTGCCAAACTATTAGGCCAGAGGGCAAGAGTAATTCAAGCTCAACATACTGCTGTATACTTTATTTGACTATTTAGATAATGCCTCATGTTAGCAGATAATTCATAGAATCAATATCGTTAAATATACGTAACATATGCTTATATACTTAAACTTTTCCGCCCTACCAGGCACTGACTGTTTTGAAATTGATCCATATTATGCTTGATGGTTAATGCCTTTGACATATGTTAACTATGATTTGCTTACCTCCCCTGCGTGGGATGATCGCTTATTGAATGAACCAATAAAACAGATTTAAAACAAAAGCCTTTAGAAAAACAGGAAAGAATAAGAGGGCTCAAAGCATAAAGCTGTATTACAAGTTAATTATCTTCATAAAATCATATACAAAACACATGCACGTGAAGAAAAACACTACCAAACAGTGTGAATTATTGTATAAAAGCAGATATGGAAGATTAAACATCCAGATCCACTAACCCAGGTTTCCTTAGTATTACAAGGGTATCAGCATCCCTTCCATGTCTTGTATTCTTTATGCATTTTTGCCTCAATACTGTTTTCTGTCCTTCATGGCAAGTGGACTTTCTCCCTCATTCCATTTTGTATGTAACATGCAATAGCCCCGACTATTGGTTGTAGTACAAAACCGTATATACACTGACAACCTGAATCTCATTGAAGGGTGACAATGAAGCAAACCCCAATTGGAGGGATGCATAACTGCTGGAACCCCATTGATGCACTTTATTGAAAATATATATATTTTTAAATAAATCTAGCACTACCTAAATACAAAGTATAAGAGCAGTAACCAAACTTACCAATAAGGCCTCCTGGAGCAGCATATTGCAGATCGTTGTGTTCGGCAAATAAAGACACAATTTTGGAAAATATTGGCTTGCACATTAGTTTTCCTTCACTGTCCTTGGAGACAATACCAGGCCGGACCTCGATTTCTTGACCTACCTGCAGACATAAATACAACAAGCAAATATTAATATTGCTGATATTTAAAGGTCTAGCTAGCTTAATATATTTAGCAAAATGTTGCTATATTCTGTATAGATATGAAGTAATGCTCCTATTGGCTGACTGTATTACCAGTGCTACGTTCTTGTTAGTTTCAAGATGTCAAGTGTTTACAGATTTAAAATCTTTAAAACCCTTAACAAAACTCAAGTCTGGTGGACAAAACCAACTGAATAGAAATGCTGCTACTCAATGTAAAATTGTTCTGTACTAAAAAAAAAATGATCACATTTTTCTGATATGGTGAAGTAGACGTATGCTCTGTTTAACAATTCTGCACTTTTATTACATTCAAAATACACATACCTTTAACACTCCTTTGAGAATACTGCCTCCTGCTACACCACCTTTAAGGTCGTCAACTTCACATCCTGGCTTATTAACATCAAAAGATCTGATAACTGAGAGAAGAGAAAAGGGTTACCAAATTGTATTGTCAATACTTCAAAAATATGGGACTCAAGTCTGCATGTTAGTATAACAGGATTAGTAACACACACAAAACAGTATAGCAGTTGGTACATGCCGGAACGGTGATACACTTTTAACCACTTGTCATGAAAGTCCTAAAAGGATCAGTAAAAGGACATTTTATAAAAATATACATACATACACACACTACATATATACACATACACATTATATATATACACACACACACATATACATACATAGAGAGAGAGACAAATTCAACTATGTTTCTTCAATCTTGATTTTTTTTTTACTGCTGTTCTACATTTCAGAGGAAACTAGAGATAAATAAAACAAAGTTGACAAGGAAGAAAAAAAAAGTTTAACCTCCCCCCACCCAAAAAAAAACAACAAGAAAATCAATCTATTCGGTTCACCTACTTGGTATATTCTGCCAGACTAAAATTAATATCCTGGTCAATGACCAAGAAATGCACGATACATGTACTTTCATAATCATTGCCCAATTCCTGCTACACAATGCCTGTATTCTAGAGAAATTAAAATATGAAATACCAGCATCACTTATATTTCAAATTCTCTAATAGACAGACTATACAGTCTTTTTTTTTAATTCCTTTCAATACTTGATAAAGGAACGTTACATTAATATATATTTAAGTGACAATTGTCTAAAGTGGCAGTGTCACCTCTGAATTCTTCATATAGACCAAAGCAAATGAGATACGCAAGGCAAAGTAGCCACCACGAATGTATGTGTAGTAAAATCTGTCAGAAAGCAGAGCTTTAATGACCTATTTTCTGCTTTGCCATCACAGTGGCTAATTGGAAAAGGCACCCAGTCGATGTACTGAAAGATTATTATCTCTTTTTTGGTGTGTGATGAGTAACTCCAGCTGCCAGAAGTTGGAGAGAGGAAGCTTCAGCTAATTATACACTCTTCATTCCCAAGTACAGCCTTATATGCAGACCTTTTACAATTACATGATGGGGAGGCATATCAATAACTGCAGAGACACCCACTTTAAAATTATTACAAACAAAACTATATTTTATAGACACATATATACGCAGACACACATGATCAGGTGCACTCACTTATTCCCTAAACAGCAATTTCAAAGCTCAAAGAATATAATATTTGTATCTGAAAACACAAAAAATAATGTAAAGTTTGGCACTCAACCGGAATAGAAAAAAGTTGCTTAAATGCCTGGGGTGATCGGAAGAGGGAGAGTGCTGAGAACAAAATCACAAAAAATTTTCAACCAGTGGAGATCTGGACTTGGAGTACCACTCAAAATTAAAGTGGAAAAAAACACTACAGGCTGATCCAACTTTGATGTAATGTACTTAAAACAAGTCAAAATGAGGCTCAGTAGTGTGTGTGGCCTCCACGTGCCTGTATGACCTTCCTACAACGCCTGTGCATTCTCCTGATGAGGTGGCGGATGGTCTCCTGAGGGATCTCCTCCCAGACCTGGACTAAAGCATCTGCCAACTCCTGGACAGTCTGTGGTGCAATTTGACGGTGGATGGAGCGAGACAATGTCCCAGATGTGCTCAATTAGATTCAGGTCTAGGGAACAGGCGGGCCAGTCCATAGCATCAATGCCTTCGTCTTGCAGGAACTGCTGACACACTCCAGCCACATGAGATCTAGCATTGTCTTGCATTAGGAGGAACCCAGGGCCAACCGCACCAGCATATGGTCTCATAAGGGGTCTGAGGATCTCATCTAGGTACCTAATGGAAGTCAGGCTACCTCTGGCGAGCACATGTGCGGCCCTCCAAAGAAATGCCACCCCACAACATTACTGACCTAGTGCCAAACTGGTCATGCATGTTGCAGGCAGCAGAACGTTCTCCACGGCATCTCCAGACTCTGTCACGTCTGTCACATGTGAAGAAACCCCCCTATTCCTATGTGATTTACAGTGTGCATTCCCTTTTTATTCTCTATGTACTGCCTATTGCATTCGGTAGATTAAACTACCGAACCGGGACCACCCTCTGGCTCATTAAACAAAGATTTAGTTGAAATTGCTACCTCTGTCTGTGCAGCCAGCGTTCGTTAGTCGAACGCCACGTGGCAGAGAAAACCGCGGCCATCTTTGTTCATGCGAACAAAGGCAGCAGGACCTGGTCGTCGAGTGCATGGAACGGTTTAACGGACACTCGACTTCCCGAACACCGGTCCCAAACAAACGAACGCTGGAACTCTATTTACCGAATAGCTAGAAGAGCGCTATTCGGTACTTTTGTGCATTCGACAGAGGGGCACGAACGCGGCTAGGAGCCAGAGGGATCCATTCGGTACTTTTCTTCATTTTTATGTTTTTCGAAAGTGACCAGCAAAACCCACCAAATTCGTGGAACTGTTTTGGGCATGCAGCCCAGGGTGAGCTGGTCACACAAGACTTCCATAGAATTTGCGAACCTTGGTTTCCTTACTATATCTCTCTCTCTCTCTATATCTATATCTATATCTATATACACACACACATATATATATATACACACACACACAGACAGTCCTCACTTACCGGCTGGGTTCTATTCGTACTACTGTCGTGAAACAAACTGGTCGGTAGGCGTGGATGTACTAAAGAGGGGGTCTACGTTCGGGGGAAGTCCACCAAACGTAGACCAGTTTGCTAGTGCAGAGAATCCTGTAAATCTGTGTTTGGAGAACTTCCACAAACACAGATTAGTTTACGAGCACAGGGAATCCCGCAAATCTACGTTCAGGGAATCTTTTCCGAACATATATTAGCTCATTAGCGTGGGGAATCCCTAAAATCCCCATGCTAGAGAGTTGGTAGGAAAGGCGTGCCATCGTAAAGTGAGGACCACCTGTACAGAAAACAATGTCACAGATTACAGAAATATTTCTAAAATCTCCCCAATTCTATATCACAAATAGAAGAGTCCAATCCAACCATCCTGACAAAACCTTTTCTCTACTTACCAATAAGCCTTGGCTCAGAAATGAAGTCTCTGAGAGGCACTGGGATTTTCTTTACAATGTATTCACAAACTACTTCAATATTGTACTTAAGCTGAGCAGAGATTGGAATGATCGGGGCTCCCTCTGCGACAGTTCCTGTAAACATAAAATGTGGTTTTAAGCATTAGCTATAGGAAGGCAAACTGTAGAATTTTCCATATCCCTGTTTGGTCTCCCATCTGGTTACATTTTTAAGCAAATTTATGTTTTCCTAAACGGGGAAGTAAAAATTAACCCTTTCATTAAGGAGCTTTCAAAACAAACTGACTTGACTATAATAAGCTTAACTATTGTAAAGTCCAATCCACTTGTGTGCGTGCGTGCGCACACACTTTTATCAGAAAGTTTGCAGCCCCTACCTAGAAGCCTGAGCAATGTGTTTTATCTTCTGCCCCCTCACAATGTGATGATTATCCTTCTGAAGGGAGTTGGGCTATGATTCTAGATGATCCAGGAGGGGTCCTGAAACCCTGGTAATACAGTATGGGTAAACTCCCTAATGGTCCAATTTAGAAATATGTGGTTTGCCCCTCTAATAGATGCAGTGTCGGCTGGGGAACCTATGCTGCACTCTGACTTATTCACCAAGAGCTGGAAATGCTTAAAATAGCCTGCACCCACAGGAAGTGCAGACCACACATGCATGTAGCCGCGGCTCAGTCCCTTCAGTTGTGTAGGTGGTGAGATGTTCCGGTCCCACTGAGTGTAGTTACAGTAAAAAAGTGCAATAATGTAGGGTTGTAATGGAGCTAAGATTGAAATTATTTGTCATTTGCACTTTACCGTAATCTTCGTTGCAACTTACCTTGTACAAATGCAAGGATCTGTTCATACTGTTCCTTTGCTTGACTTTCTTTCACCAAATCAATCTTGTTTTGTAGTATAAGAATGTGTTTCAGTTTCATAATTTCAATGGCAGCCAAATGTTCGGAGGTCTGAGGCTGAGGACAGGATTCATTGCCAGCTACAAAACAATGCATGATAAAATTACATAAATAGTAAAAGGAATAGATGTGCATTCAAACCCAGTATAAAGTGTTTATATTTACATATACATTCAGAATCTTTTTTTCAGAAAAAAAAAAAAGATTAAAAGGATCACTATAGCATTAGAATACAAGGATTCCTCACCTTTCTTCCCCTAGCACACTGGTTTTGCAGCGGTCCCCTACCTCTATCAGGGAACACTAATATCTCTCATTACATGAAAAAAAACAAGATATAAAGTCATATCATGTTAAGCTACAATTGTTATGGCATCTATAGTATTCCTTTGAAATTACTTGCTAAAATATTTCAAATATTTCAGAATACATCCGGGGGAGAGAGAGAAAGAGTGCGAGAGCGCGAGCAAGAACGCGAGCGCGCGAAAAAGACACGCCAAATGCGCAGTGTGTGAAAGAAAAAATGTCAGTATCAAAAAGGTAGAAAAAAAAAAAAAAGAATGAGATACCAATATAATCAAACCCTACAAATACATATTTAAAAAAAAAAAAAAAAGCAAACCAGACCTAGTAAGAAGCAGGGACAGAGTAAATCACCAAAACACCCAAAAACGAAATGTTGGGGGTGTTTTGGTGATTGACTCTGTCCCTGCTTCTCACTAGGTCTGGTATGCTTATTTTTTATTTTATATGTATTTGTAGGGCTTGATTATATTGGGATCTCATTTTTTTCTACCTATGATACTGACATTTTTCTTTTCACACACTGCGCATTTGATAGAGATATATATATCCAGAATTGTTCTGGCTGTTGCTTTATAACATATGACTTTATATCTTGGTTTTTCATGTAATGAGATATTATTAGTGTGTACCCATTGAATAAAGATTTTCTTTCGTATATAAAAGATTTATGGTTGTGCTCCTTACTCAGTTTGTAGTTACATGTATTTGGGCTTTTGGGGATAGAGCCTTATGTAAGTGAACACCCTACTATCATAGAGCTCAAATTGGGGATAGCTTATATGTAGCATTGGAGTGTGCCTACTTTGTTTCATTTGTTATTAGCCACTAGAGGTGATGTCAGACAGCAGTGATTTAGACTGCTGAGGCTGCAGAAGCAGTCTCATTGCTCCAGAGCCACTATATTAAGCTACAATTGTTATGGCACCCATAGTATTCCTTTTAAATTAAGGACTAGAAGGACTACTTGCTAAAGTATTTCAAATATTTCAGAATACATCTGGGTTTTAGATAAAATAAGTTCAAAACAAAGAATCATCACATTTCATCCTTCATGTTATTCTCACCTATTAATAATAATGCTGCATCCATAACAGCTGCACCGTTCAGCATGGTAGCCATCAAGATGTCGTGACCTGGGCAGTCCACAAAGGACACATGTCTGTCAACAGAGAAAAACAGGTTGTGGTGAATGTGTACTTAAAGGAGGAATAGGACATAAAATGTATGGTACTTTACTAAAATCTGTAATGCCCCTTTCCTTCCTTTTAGATTTTTTTTGTTTTGGCCATTATAAGTATGTCCGATCCCTGTTTTTCTTTATATACCCTATAAAATAAGCAAACTTAAAGGACCACTATAGTGCCAGGAAAACAAACTCGTTTTCCTGGCACTATAGGGTCTTTAGCTTCCCCCCACCCTCAGGGTCCCACTCCAGCTGGGCTCAAGGGGGCTGGAGTTAAACACTTACCTTTCTCCAGCACTGGGCTCCCTCCGCACTGGGGAACTCTCCTCCACCAGACGTCATCGCTGAATGCGCATGCACTGCAAGAGCCACGCGCGCATTCAGACAGTCCATAGGAAAGCATTTCTCAATGCTTTCCTATAAACATCCAGCATCTTCTCACTGATTTTTACAGTGAGAAGCACAGAAGCACCTCTAGTGGCTGTCTTATTAACCCCTGTGTAAACATGGCAGTTTCTCTGAAATTGCTATGTTTACAGCTGCAGGGTAAAAACCTGGGGGACCTTGCACCCAGACCACTTCATTGAACTGAAGTGGTCTGGATGCCTATAGTGATCCTTTAACCCCTTAAGAACACATGACATGTGTGACATGACATGATTCCCTTTTATTCCAGAAGTTTGGTCCTTAATGGGTTAAAGGAACACTATAGGGTCAGGAACACAAACATGTATAGGGTCAGGAACACAAACGTGTAAAAACCACCATCTAGCCTCCCCCGGGCCCCTCATGCCTCCCTAAATAAATATAGCAAAATCTTACATGTATTCAAGCCTGAATCTGCTGGCTCTGCCCTGTCTGCCTCAGACCATCAAGCAGTCTGCTGACATCATTATAAGTGGTAGCGTGACCCAATCACAGTGTTTCTCCATAGGATTGCCTGAGACTGACAAGGAGGCAGAGCCAGCACAATTCAAACAGCCCTGGCGAATCAGCATCTCCTCAGAGAGATACATTGAATCAATGAATCTCTATGAGGAAAGTTCAGAGTCTGAATGCAGAGGGAGGAGACAGAATTTTTGGATGCATTTTAGGCAGCCATGACCAAGGGAGAATCTCTAACAGCCATCTGAGGAGTGGCCAGTGAAGTTATCACTAGGCAGTAATGTAAACACTGCATTTTCTCTGAAAAGACAGTGTTTACAGCAAAAGCCCGACGGTAATGATTCTACTCACCAGAACAAATTCAATTAGCTGTAGTTGTTCTGGTGACTAGTGTCCCTGCCCTTGCTGTATGCCCTGCCTCAGTCTGACAATATTAGCACTCTCTTGTGGTCTGATCAAATGTTACTCATAGAGAATACATTTTATTGGACAGTTTCACCGCAACTTAAATGAAAGAAAGGAGGGGAAACGCTCATTAAGTTTGGTGCCAGTGCAGGTTGTGTAATTTCTGCACAGAATTTATATTAGGCAACCCAGAACAGAGTTCTAGGCTGCTTAAGTCACGTGTGCCAGTGTGCAACTAACCACCAACACAAAAGGGCAAATATCTCTGTGCAGTTTTTGAAATTCTGCATATTCAGACTCCTACCACCATGACCACTACTAAATGCAGAAGTGCCTTTGGTGGTTGGAGTAACCCTTTAATGACACCTCAAAGCACTTAACTGTAGCATGCATTAGGGCTACTAAACTGGTTAATGGATTGCAGGATAAAACATACAAGGAAAGGTTAAAGAATCTTAACATGTATAGCTTGGAGGAAAGACTAGACAGGGGGATATGATAGAAACATTTAAATACATAAAGGGAATCAACACAGTAAAGGAGGAGACTATATTTAAAAGAAGACAAACAACCACAACAAGGGGACAGTCTTAAATTAGAGGGACAAAAAGTTTAAAAATAATTTCAGGAAGTATTAACTTTACTGAGAGGGTAGTGGATGCATGGAATAACCTTCCAGCTGAAGTGGTAGAGGTTAACACAGTAAAAGAGTTTAAGCATGTGTGGGACAGGCTTAAGGCTATCCTAGCTATACGATAAGGCCAAAGACAAATGAAAGTATTTAGATAATTGGGCAGACTAGATGGGCAAATGGTTCTTATCTGTCGTCACATTCTGCTATTCTGCATGGGAGAGTATTGATTACCTCCTTGTTGTTGCTGAATGAGCCACGGCAATAAATAGGCTTTGCAATACGGACATACTTATACTACTTAAAAGAATATCATATGCAACCACAGACCACCAATTAATCCACCTTGAAGATAGAACTGAAAGTAGAATAGGGAGTGCAGGTTATTACAAGTAAACTAAAATAGGTATCTATAGCAAACTGTTCTCAATTACCTGATCAATTTAAAATTCCCCTTTGTGTTGACTAGGTCTGTTGGAAATTCATCTGGTGTACTGCTGCCACAAGAGCGGTAGCATTCAGGCCGGGAACAGCTGGGGTCATCCAGTTTGTAGATCTGAAATGTATAAAGAAACAGGTTTTTGCACTGGTTTGTAATGGTAGTTTCAAAAACAATTACATCATATAAGGATTTTGTAGATCCCCAAAGAAGTGTAAGACTAAGAGCACTGCTGTGTACTGGCCTTCTGTTTCTTTTTTCAAGTCACAAATAAAACAGAAATACCACTAAATGCAAAGCGGTTAACGGAGACAAAAAAAAACCCCCAAGCCTCATAGCAAATTACCAATGAAGTCTAGGGACATCACTTGATTCAAAGTACATTTTGAGAGAAAAAAAGTGGTCTATGGAAGATCACACTGATGATGGCTGCTGGGAAAGAACAAAACCTGACTGTGGTAGCCCAGCAAGTTAACCATATGACAAAGTAGTCCTTTCTTTTTCTCAAGAAATGTTATGACCTTGCAGGGTATGCTGGCTGACATTTTTTTTATGAAATACTCAGAAGCACATGCCCGATTCAAAAGCGTGTGTGCTGCCACTACTTCCCACCTAAGCAAACACTAGCATGTTAAGGCCTCATTGAATTAAACTTGTACATGTCATGTTCCACCTGTGTGAGGAGCTCAACAAATAAATTTAAAAAAAAACACACCATTTTAAATTGTGGTTTGTTTAACCCCTTAAGGACCACACTTCTGGAATAAAACGGAATCATGACAAGTCACGTGTCCTTAAGAGGTTAAACACTATTTTGAGATTGTGAACAATTTGTAGCAGACAACAGCATTTCAAGTTAGTAAACATAACATAATTACAGCATCTCCATTAAAATGAAAGCTATAATGCACAGTGTAAAACGAAGTTTAACATTTCACAGTAGATACATCCACCAGCTGATGCAGGCCCCTCAATGCTGTAGCAGTAACAGCAGCTGCAAAACATGATTGCAACCTGGGTCGTAAACTAACCTTAGCATTGGCATATCCCAGCTTGATGGTAATATTCCGCTCCAGTTCATTCTTAAATCGGACAGTGTGCACACCAGATATAGCTTTGACTACAGTGGACTTTCCATGGGCTACATGCCCAATGGTACCTAAAACAAAACAGAAATGTGTCACTATACTATTGGTTTAAAAATGTAACAAAAAAAAATGTTTTATATTAATAGCCCAGCTTGATTACATTAAATGGAAAAGGCGAGAGATTTTTTTTTTTTTATGTATTATTGTTGGGTAATCTTATTGCATTGCCATCTATCAACACGCTTGTTTTTTGGTTGCTTTTTTTATGCCCTAAAGTATGTAGCATTGTGAGTATTTCATTTCAGTTCACAAGACATGGCTTGTTTGTAGTTGGTAAGAACCATAGCAAATACCACCTGGTGAGTTACACAAACTATACGAACATATTAACAGAATAAATATGTATTTAGCTTTATCTTCTGTGTTTTTGCATATAACCTGTTAAAAAAAAAAAAAAATGCACAGAGAAAATCTCAGAATTTGTATTTCATAAATTTTCTTGTGTGATAGCAATGTAATATGTAAAAAAGTGAATTTTGTAATCAAATAACTATGAAACACATCATCTAGGTCTCGATTAGAGATGTCGCGAACTGTCCGCCGAACTGTTCGCGAACTGTCCGCCGGCGAACAATAGTGTGTTCGCGTTGGGCGAACATATCCGATTTCCAGTCCGCCCCCTATACGTCATCATTGACTAAACTTTGACCCGGAACCTCAGTCAGCAGACACTTCCTGGGAGGGAGGGTCTGCTGCTGATTGACCCGGAACCTCACAGCCAGCAGACACATTCCACCCAAAGTTTACTCAATGACGACGTATAGGGGGCGGACCGGAAATCGGATATGTTCGCCCAACGCGAACACGCTATTGTTCGCCGGCGGACAGTTCGCGACATCTCTAGTCTCGATGTGTTAAAGAGCTTATCACCATGTAGGCTCAACATTTAGTGATTAAAAAAAATCAAAAAAAAAAAATCATCTTCTCCCCAATACACAAACCAATTGCTTCTGTTCACTTCAATTGAAACCTCTCCCGTGAATGCATAATGCACATACTGCAGACTCCAGACAGACCTGGTCTGTGCAGCTGTTAATTTTCAAAATGAGTAGCTCCTGTAAAACTCTCTAATGTAAACACTCTATGCAGGGTTAGTATCCCAGCACCATAACCACATCAATAAACTGAAGTGGTTATGATGCCAAGAGTGTCCTTTTAATTAATCCAGTGTGCACCTGTATTTCCTTTTGTGATTCTACCGGTGTAAGAAGACATGTGATTTTATTTGAAACTTGGATTTTATTGGAATGTTCTAAAAACAGGTCTTGTCTGACCCATCTAAAAGAGTAGGTGCTGACAAATATTTGATGGGTTAAGAAGCCACATTGGTGTGATGTGTGTCACTACAGTTGTTAGAAGGCACAAAAAGTGTATCTGTAAACACCCTGTGTTTTAGATATGTATAATGCTACTTACACACATACAGGTAAGATTCCATACTGGCATACATATTTATTTAGCATGTTTCTTACATTTGTTAGAAATGTCTGGTTTGTGAATCAGCACTAAAAATGATAGCGTTGCAGCAAGTATAGCACACTGAGTAATTACCAGGTTAAAGTGTTGTGTACAGTCACACATGATCTTTGTTTAAAATTAGACACTAAGCGATAATGAAAACTCAAGGCCAGATACCACTGAGGTCCGAGTCTGGAGGATTGTTGCCAGGAAGCCAAAAAAAGAACATATAAGTGCGTGCCAAAAGAACACAATACTTAGAATTAAGTGGGTATCCTTGTCAATGTAGGTTTACTGAAATGTTAGGATACAAACTGGAGACCCCCATCCCCTTAAAACATACAATGCAATATGTAAAGCAAAGTCCAAGGTGACACTCCATTATGTAGTCCAGAAATAACATAGAATCTTTCCCAAAAATTTAATGCATGCGCCTGGAGTGACATGTTCTGTCTCCGTGCAGACAAAATATTCCTTACACACTGAACCCAAGAATGTTATTTTATGCAAAATGATACAAACCATAAAAATATGTGGATGGAGTGTATGCAATGTGCTAGGAGGGGTGTGTAGTGGTGGAGGATTGATTGTGCCTGGGTATAAAATCAGTGCGTATATATGGAACTGTAAAGTGACAAGCCATGTTTGGCTTGATAGCAGCACTTAAAGGGATCCTATAGTGCCAGGAAAACAAACCAGTTTTCCTGGCACTATAGGCTCCTGGAGTGCCCCCCTCCCTTGCAGTTGAAGGGGTTAAAACCCCTTCAGCCACTTACCTTAATCCAGTGCCGGGCTCCCTCGGCACCGGTGACCTCTCCTCCCCCGCCGACGTCAGCTCCCGAGTAGAGCCGAATGCGCGGCCAGAGGCGTGCGCGGGCATTCAAACACACCCATAGGAAAGCATTACTCAATGCTTTCCTATGGCAATCTTATTTGACCCTGAGGACGTCCAGTGTCAAATAAGTGCAATTTACTCAGTGTAAATCGCAGAAGCGCCTCTAGTGGCTGTCAGGGAGACAGCCACTAGAGGCTGGATTATACCTGCAATTTCTCTGTTTTCAGCTACAGGGTTGAAACTAGGGGGGACCTGGCAAGCTGAAGTGGTCTGGGTGCCTATAGTGGTCCTTTAACGTTACAGAAGAAAACCAGTATATTGGAAGTTCCTATCCAAGTACCAAAACAACTTTAGCTTAAATGACAGAATTGTGCAGTGAGACTAAACGGGCATGGTCTAAACACCAAAATCACTTAAGTAAGCTGAAGTTGTTTTGGTGCTTAGAATGTCCCTTTTTGATTAACATACATATGCAGTGTAAATGACAAGTGACTATTTTAGTCAAGTTTCACAACATACCTATATTAATTGTTGCTTGTCTGCTGATGATTTCTGGTGAAAGGGGTGTCAGTTTTGAAACATCCTGTAGATAAAAAGAGACACTAAGTAAAGAGACACAATAAACCACTTTTGCAAGTCCTTAAATTACAATAAATATTTATATATACAGCCAACAAATGCCACAATTTATAGAAAAAGGTTAGGTATATTATTCTGTCTTACATAAGAAAATTCAAACAGTCTGTCTTACATAAGTAAGTAGATACATTAGTTCACGGATGTTCTACAGGTAGATCCCTAGATGTTTTAAAACTACAACATCTGGAGATGTACCTTTGAAAATTAGATATATATCTAGATCACATCACACTGAAATAGGTGAATAAAAACTAATGAATAGGCATAAGGATGTGAAGAGGGATGGAAGCTGACCCTTATCACTACATATCCATGATATTCTACCAGCAAAATGTAGGTATTATGTGGATGATCTATTCGCTGCAAAATCTCATGGTCACTACTCTATCCTAATTCTCCTTGACCTCCTTTCTGCTGGTTTTTTATACTGTTGATCATCAACAGCATTTTCTAATCTCGGACAACAAGATACTGCTCTCTCCTGGTGCTCCTCCTACCTCACCCAGCGCTTTTAGTGTTTCTTTATCTGGCTCTGCCTCTTCCTCCCAACCTCTCTTTGTTGGTGTACCCCAAGGTTCAGTCCTTGGTCTCCTGCTGTTCTCAATCTATACTGCCTCCCTTGGTAAACTCATTAGCTCCTTTGGCTTCCAATTAGGGATCGACCGATTATCGGTCTGGCCGATATTCTGAATTTTCAGCAATATCGGTATCGGCCTATAAAGATGCAGACCTGGGCCACCATCAGGGCGTGACAACTGAGATGGTTGTCATGTGCTAGGCTATCGTGGAGAGCCCAGCCGCATACTCTTACTTACCCTCCCAGCAGTTCCCCGTCTAAATCTCGCGAGTCGCACGCCAACCAGTGCGTTACCATGGCAACTCTCTGTACGCAGGCCGCAAGAGTTAGACAGGGGAGCTTCTGGGAAGGGAAGCAAGCGTGTTGCTGTGCCCCCTCTGCACAGTCCATGCCACCAGTGAAGGACATCACCCCCCTCCCTGGCCAGGTAAGAAGCAGGGAGGGGGGACTAAAACAAGACGTAATCTATCCCCCCTGCTCGCCTTCAAAATTTCTCTAGGGCTGCATCGTTCCTGTGGAACTCCCTTCCCTGATAGACACTCACCCAGTCTCCACGCCTTAAAAAATAATAATTAAAAACTCCCCTTTTCACAAAAGCATATCGATTAAACTATTAATGGCTCAAAAACAAACACACCAAGTCTTCATTGAATACTATTCTACTTCCCATACACTTCCCTTACCTTTTGGGTCACTTTACCCCACTCCCTCTAGCATGTAAGCTCATTGAGCAGGGCCCTCAACCCCTCTGTTTCTGTGCATCAAACTTGTCTGGTTACACTTACATGTTTGTTAGTCCACCCATTGTAAAGCGCTATGGAATTTGTTGGCGCTATATAAGTATAACAATAATGTAGAAGCCTGAATGTGATGACTACATGAAACAATGCTTTTAAAAACATGTTGCTCACCTAATCTTTTCTCTGAAAAGTAATGAGCACTGGTGATGTGCCTGCTGGTGCAGTTTATTGCATGAGCAGGTTAGAATGGACAGCAGTCAGATGATTAGTAGTCTATCTCAAAATGGCTGCTCAGCCAGATAAAAACAAAAAACACTATATACACACATCGATAAAAGTAATAGATTTAAATGTAATAGCCGTTGCACTACCCCTTCTCAAATCTAATGAAAGTACCTCAACATCTATGTTGTTCTCTGTTCAATATCATTCAATTCACTGTCTCAATCTGCCAACCATTAAAAATAAATACTTTAATACGTGAATGTTACGTTGGAGGAGGACATGAAAATGCACTGAAGCACACCCACTTCTTGAAGTGTAGTACCAACTTGCCAGCAGCTTACCCAACAGTGCTGCCAATACAAGTATTGTTTTTAAAATAATACAGGCTGGAATGGAGATCAAACATCACAAGTGGTACACAGGATAAGAATAGGATACTATAGGCAACAAAATTACTTTAGCTTCAAAGTGACACTATAGACACCAGACCCACTGCAGCTTAAAGGACCACTATAGTGCCAGGAAAACATACTTGCCCCCACCCTCAGGGTCCCCCTCCCGCCCGGCTCTGGAAGGGGGAAAGGGTTAAAAACTTACCTTTTTCCAGCGCTGGGCGGAGAGCTCTCTGCCTCCTCTCCTCCGATCCGCCCCGTCGGCTGAATGCGCATGCGCGGCAAGAGCTGCGCGCGCATTCAGCCCGTCGCATAGGAAAGCATTTACAATGCTTTCCTATGGACGCTGGCGTGCTCTCACTGTGAAAATCACAGTGAGGAGCACGCAAGCGCCTCTAGTGGCTGTCAATGAGACAGCCACTAGAGGATTTGGAGGCTGGCTTAACCCATTGATAAACATAGTAGTTTCTCTGAAACTGCTATGTTTAAAAAAAAATGGGTTAACCCTAGAAGGACCTGGCACCCAGACCACTTCATTAAGCTGAAGTGGTCTGGGTGCCTAGAGTGGTCCTTTAATGTAGTGGTTCTGGTGTCTATAGCATGTCCCTGCAGTGTTAGCACAGTAAACACTGCCTTATCAGATAAGAGGCAGTGTTAACATTGTTGGCCTGTAACACCTATAGTGGCAGTCATTCAGATGGCCACTAGAGGTTCTTATCTCAGTTCTATGCACTGGAGTTCAATGTCTCTACACTCTGGGGAGACGCTGAATATTCGATAGAGATGCATTGAGACAATGCAACTCGAATAGATGTTGATTGGCACAGGGTGACATTTTGCCATGCATGCGCGATATCCTCCCAATGCTTAAGCATTGGATGAGAACATCAAGAATGAAGATCTCAGGCATGGAGTCAAGGTGAATAAAAGCTTTAATCTTAACAGAGGGGGAGGCCGGGGCCTAACGATTTATTCCAGCACAATAGTGTCACGAAAACATATTTGTATTTCTAACACTCAACACAATTTTGCTGTATAGATCATGCCCCTACAGTTTAACTGCTTTAATATCTGCCATTTAGGAGGTAAATAACTTTGTTTATACAGCCCTAGCCAACTCCTCACCCCCCCCCACCCCTTCATGTAACCTACACAGTCATCGTACATACATCCTGTAATGAGAAATCTAAAGCTTAAACTGCCTTATTTGCACATTTTGTGTAATCTGTTATGTTAATAGCCTATTAGAACCTCCCGTGTGTAAGTTAAATGAACAGAGGAGGAGATTAAAAACAAAGTAAAAATCCAAAAATATTTTTCACAGACACTCTGAAGTCGCAGCAAGAGGAGCTGTAGCTAGGGCTGCATAAAAAGAACCAAAAAAGTGATTTAACTACTAAATAGCAGATAATTGAGCAGTGAGACTGCAGTGGCATGATCTATATGTCAAAAGTGCTTCACTGACCTAAAGTTGTTTTAGTACTTATTGTATTCCATTAAAATGACACTATAGTCACGAGAACCCATACATACAGCATGTTCCTGCTGGCTTTTCAATGCTTTTTTAGAGGAAGGGCGGTGTTTACATTAGTGCCTAGGCTTTTCAATGTAAACGCTGCCTTTTTAGAGGAAAGGCAGTGTTTACATTGGTGCCTAGTAACACTTCTAGTAGCAGTCACTCAGATGGCATCTAGAGGTGCTCCCATCTCAGCAGCACCTACGTTTAGCATCTCCCTGCAGCTGAACATTCCCCATAGAGATGCATTGATTTGATGCATCTCTATGGGGAGATGCTGACTGGCACAGCTCTGTGTTTTGCTGCGCATGCACAATAGTCTATCAATGCTTTCCTATATTGGCTGAGATAATGAAGACTAATGAGCTCAGAGACAGACATGGCAAGGTGACTAAAATCACATTTTACTGAGATCGAAGGGAAACTGGGCACCTAAACAGCCACTTCAGGACTATAGTGTCAGGAATACGTTTGCATGTACAAATTTCTGCAGCCCTAATGCAATGAGACATATCAAGATCTTGCTTGGAAGGGGCAGCCTTTGAGTGTACCAATTATGGAGTATGCTCTTGATGCAGATGAAGACACAGACCCCTGGAATAATATGGTGTATAGCCAGAGGGGATTTTATAATCTCTCTCCCCAACAGGCCTGTATGGATGAGATAAGGAACCTAGATGATACAGCACCTTATTTGTATACAACACCCTATTTGTATTTTAGCCTAATATACAGTCTACCGATCTAAAGTAATTAAAAAAAAAAAAAAAAAAAAAAGGTATTACGTTTTGCAGTTATGTTATACATTTAAACACAACTTCAATAAGAATCAGAAGTGCCCTCTAGTGTGGCCATACAAACGATCTTCAGGAACGACAGACTAACAATCCAATTCATGAATCCCAACCAATATACAAAAACTCTGTGGTGGTTCAACTGCTGTAGAATATTTTGCCATGGTGAACACCCAGCTGTAATTATAGAGCCAACACTGAACAAAAAATCCAACCCATGGTTATTTCCCATCTTTTGAGATTATATATATATATATATATATATATATATATAAATAATAATAAATGGCAAGTTCAAAGTGATATTAAAATATTCCAAAATAACTGAAATAAACACAGTTTTCCCAGACCAGATACTTTGGCCTCAGGCTTACTCAAACTGTATTTTAGTCCCATTCACAGCAGTCTGATCTGTTGGGATTGTGGATTTTCATACAGCATTAATATTTAAAGGACTAAACACATTATCTGGAAGAGTTATCGCAGCCAGCGATGTATTCAGTTCAGCTAGTTCGGCTGATATGTAAAATCTCCGGCAGCTCGCCCTTTAGTAAATATCGCCCAGTACTGTGAGAGATGATCCCAGGCCAGCCCTCACAAATCGGGCAGGGCAGTATCCCGGCTGTGAGGGCCCCCCCGGGCAGGGCAGTATCCCGGCTGTGAGGGCCCCCCCGGGCAGGGCATGATCCCGGCTGTGTGCCCGCTGTATAGTGAATAGAGGCCGGGCTCAGCGAGCACATGATGACAAGCTGTGAGCGGGCAGCGCGCTCGGGGCCGCGTGGGACTCGGCACTGCTCTAACAGGGAGCCCGCCCCGCGCTCCGCTTCCACCGGCCCACGGCGAGCGGGACAAACTTACCAAAGTAGCCAAATCCTGCTTGGATAAATGGGGCTGGCCCAGAGTCACTCCCGGCTCGTCACCCGCCATCTTGGAGAAGAGGAAGTTACTCGCTGTGTGGGGACGATCCCAGAATGCCTCACTGCGAACAGTTTCCGCTGTACACGCAGCGTTCCACGCCTCACTCTGAGAGCGCCGGCCCGCCCACTCACTGGTGAGCGCAGAGAGGTGATTGGACGATTCCAGGCCGACAGCTCCGCCCGTGGGCGTCGCCGAGCTCGCGTTAACCCCTTCACTGCCATAAGTGGGTTGGCGGATGGGCGGCCATTACCAGCGAGACGCAGCGCTGGTTCATTCATTCAGCGCGGAGCCTCCCTCTCCCCGGCCACTCAGTCACAGGAAGTGAGCCTGGCCGGGGGGAGGGTCCGCCCGCTAACATGATGCAACCTGAGACCGAGCGCCTCCATTGCTGTACATAGACCGCGATATTTACTAAACTGCGAACTGAGCCGGGATTCCAATTATTAGCCAACATGGGGGCAATCAGACTCAGGGCCAGCGTTATACCCTGTGCACAGCGTTATACCCAGTGCCAGCGTTATACCCAGGGTCAGCGTTATACCCAGTGCCAGCGTTATACCCAGGGCCAGCGTTATACCCAGGGCCAGCGTTATACCCAGTGCCAGCGTTATACCCAGGGCCAGCGTTATACCCAGGGTCAGCGTTATACCCAGTGCCAGCGTTATACCCAGGGCCAGCGTTATACCCAGTGCACAGCGTTATACCCAGGGCCAGCGTTATACCCAGGGCCAGCGTTATACCCAGTGCACAGCGTTATACCCAGTGCCAGCGTTATACCCAGTGCACAGTGTTATTCCCAGGGCCAGCGTTATACCCAGTGCCAGCGTTATACCCAGGGCCAGTGTTATACCCAGTTCACAGTGTTATACCCAGTGCCAGTGTTATACTCAGTGCCAGGGTTATACCCAGGGCCAGCGTTATACCCAGTGCCAGTGTTATACCCAGTTCACAGTGTTATACCCAGTGCCAGTGTTATACTCAGTGCCAGGGTTATACCCAGGGCCAGCGTTATACCCAGGGTCAGCGTTATACCCAGTGCCAGCGTTATACCCAGTGCCAGCGTTATACCCAGGGCCAGCGTTATACCCAGGGCCAGCGTTATTCCCAGGGCCAGCGTTATACCCAGGGCCAGTGTTATACCCAGTGCACAGCGTTATACCCAGGGCCAGCGTTATTCCCAGGGCCAGTGTTATACCCAGTGCACAACGTTATACCCAGGGCCAGCGTTATACCCAGTGCCAGCGTTATACCCAGTGCACAGTGTTATACCCAGTGCCAGCGTTATACCCAGTGCCAGCGTTATACCCAGGGCCAGCGTTATACCCAGGGCCAGCGTTATACCCAGTGCACAGCGTTATACCCAGGGCCAGCGTTATACCAAGGGCCAGTGTTATTCCCAGGGCCAGTGTTATACCCAGTGCACAGCGTTATACCCAGGGCCAGCGTTATACCCAGTGCCAGCGTTATACCCAGGGCCAGTGTTATACCCAGTTCACAGTGTTATACCCAGTGCCAGTGTTATACTCAGTGCCAGGTTATACCCAGGGCCAGCGTTATACCCAGGGTCAGCGTAATACCCAGTGCCAGCGTTATACCCAGGGCCAGCGTTATACCCAGGGTCAGCGTTATACCCAGTGCCAGCGTTATACCCAGTGCACAGCGTTATACCCAGGGCCAGCGTTATACCCAGGGCCAGTGTTATACCCAGTGCACAGCGTTATACCCAGGGCCAGTGTTATACCCAGTGCCAGCGTTATACCCAGTGCACAGTGTTATACCCAGTGCCAGCGTTATACCCAGGGCCAGTGTTATACCCAGTGCACAGTGTTATACCCAGTGCCAGTGTTATACCCAGGGTCAGCGTTATACCCAGTGCACAGCGTTATACCCAGTGCACAGCGTTATACGCAGGGCCAGTGTTATTCTCAGGGCCAGTGTTATACCCAGTGCACAGCGTTATACCCAGTGCACAGTGTTATACCCAGGGCCAGCGTTATACCCAGGGCCAGCGTTATACCCAGGGCCAGCGTTATACCCAGGGCCAGCGTTATTCCCAGGGCCAGTGTTATACCCAGTGCACAGCATTATACCCAGGGCCAGCGTTATACCCAGTGCCAGTGTTATACCCAGTGCACAGCGTTATGGCTTACTATGTAACATGGTATACCCAGGGTTTAGTCAGTAACAGGATTCTCTATCAATATAGTGGGTGTAATGGCAAATGGACACAGAGATTACATGTTTTATAGGGCTATTCACTAAAGTGGGAATTACAAGTGAACTACAGTCAGCTATGCTTTCAGTTTGGCCATTTTGGCCTTTAATTTGAAATTCACTGTGAATTCTCACTTTAGTGAATAACCCTGTTAGTATAATATACAGCGCTACGGAATCTGATGGCGCCATATAAATAATAAAATAATAAAAGAAATAAAACATTTTCCATGTTGCAAATCCACAGTGGTATAAGGCATAAAAAAACAAAACTGAAGTTCTTGCATACCTCTTAGTTACATTATTCAAGTAAACAAAAAGAATATTAACAGTATACATTAACTTTATACACATTGACATAAATCCATAGATAAGATCACAAATGTCATCCCGATTTTAGCAGACTGAATTTAATGGCACCCAGACCACCACTTCATCTCATTGACATGATGTATACACTAAAACCATTTCATTAAGCTAACGTTGTTTTGGTGACTAAAGTGTCACTTTAAAGATACTCCACCATGTTTAAATGTGACAAAAGACAATAAATCTAAGGTATGCTTGTGGCTTTGTACAAGCATAAGCATGCCTAGATGTAGAAAGTTAACAAATGTATCCACTAACAAAGCCATTTCCTTCTATGATCCAACATTTACTTTGTCTATTCATAGATTTTAAGCCTATTTAGAATGTTGATGTCTAACTATCTTAAATCAACGCCTTAATTTGCTAACTTTTTTGATTTACCTTAAATAATCCTGTATTTCTATTTTCCTGAGAAATGGAATGCCAGCAACTCATTGGCTCAGTTCATTGATTGCTAGTATATACTGGACTGAAACATTATAGCTACCTTAGAACTTCCTAGGAAGCATTAACCAACAGTAATGTATTTCAATTCTACATTTTTTGGATGGCCAAGTTATTCTAAACATATTTTGATCCAAAACCACTTTAAATCTTTTTAATATTTATACAATCCAAATATAAAAAAGTGGATGCTTCAGTTTACATTCTTAAATGTCATCAGTAACCTATGAATGTTTAGAATGTAAACTGAAAAGTCGACTTTTTATTTTTGTAGAAGTTTAATTAAAAGCTACATTTTATTTACAACCTTAAAGAGACACTATAGTCACCTGAACAACTTCAGCTTAATGAAGCAGTTTTGGTGTATAGAACATGCCCCTGCAGCCTCAGTGCTCAATCCTCTGCCATTTAGGAGTTAAATCCCTTTGTTTATGAACCCTAGTCACACCTCCCTGCATGTGACTTGCACAGCCTTCCATAAACACTTCCTGTAAAGAGAGCCCTATTTAGGCTTTCTTTATTGCAAGTTCTGTTTAATTAAGATTTTCTTATCCCCTGCTATGTTAATAGCTTGCTAGACCCTGCAAGAGCCTCCTGTATGTGATTAAAGTTCAATTTAGAGATTGAGATACAATTATTTAAGGTAAATTACATCTGTTTGAAAGTGAAACCAGTTTTTTTTTTCATGCAGGCTCTGTCAATCATAGCCAGGGGAGGTGTGGCTAGGGCTGCATAAACAGAAACAAAGTGATTTAACCCCTTAAGGACACAGCTTCAGAAGCTTGTCTTACGCTTAATGACACAAGCAATTTTTGCATTTTCTTGCTGTATGTGTTCAACTGCAATTTGCATCTCTCTCGTTTATTGCACCGACACATATTATATACTGTTTTTTAAAGGACAGAAAGGGCTTTAATTTGATGTAACATATATATAAATGCTTATTTATTATTTAAAAAATACAGAAAAAGGCAAAAAAAAGAAAAATTTGTGTTTTTTGTACAGTTTTTGCAATAATAATGTGTGCCTAATTAGTGCAGGTTAAAGAAAGTAATTAAAAATAAATTCATTTAGTTGTTCTGATTTACAGAATATATAATGTGTCTGGGATTTTAAGTTTTTTTTGGTAGTTACAGGTCACAAAGCACAAGGAGTAAAATAAACTTTTAATGTGGAGCGATTTTAGAATTTGGTATGTTTGTCTTGTAAGCTTAATAGCCATAAAAGAAAACAAAATTGCCACACAAAAGTATATATTTATATAAAGTAGACATCACAGGCTATTGTCCTAAGGTTGTTTTGACACTTTCTACGTAGCCATTTCATCGCCAATCTCTGCTAAATATTGGAGTAAAATGTAGTTTTTTGGGGTTTTTGGCACACAAACTTATAACAAAGAACTTCTCATGTGTATTTTGTAAAGTTGGTGTGTGCTATTCCTGTACAATTTTGTGTTCAGTTACTTCTGCTGAGTACAACGATGCCCCCATTGTATGTCTTTGGCACTATTTCATGAAGCTACAGTGCCATATAGGAGACCTGTCCGTTTCAACATTTACAGTAGAATATTGAGAGGTGGATTCAATGGGCCTATGCTTCAATGTGGGGTATTATAGCAGTTTGACTGTTCAAAAAAACCCCACAAAGGCCTACCATTTGTAAAAGTAGACACTCCAGGGTATCTCATATGGTGCATATTATGCCTTAACATGCCCCCATTTTTTACCAATATATGCCAAAGTATGTGGTAAAAAATAATTTGGGGCATTTTTTTTTTTACATACGGATTACACTTTTGCTGGGCATTTTGTACATTTCATATGTGCCACTAAGTTCAAACCCCGCAAATTATGCTCAGCTAAGTCTTCGGAGTAAAACAATATGCCCAATGTATGACCTAGACACTATTTTTCAAAGTTACACTGCTGTAAAAGAGACGTGACAAGTTAAGGTTTCTAAGTGTGAACTTTCATGGAGGGTTTTGATGCGTCAGTGTCCCACTTTGGAGCACTTGAGCAGGCTACATATTACAACTACACTATAAAGGCATACCATTTCTTAAAGAACACATCCCTGGGTATTTAAAAAGGCATATTTTGAACCTTAGCGTGGGATCATTTTTCCGCTAGCTTGTACCAAGTCTAGTGGTAATAATATGTTGCTCAGCTATGTCGGCTGAGTACAGCAATACCCCCGTATGTACCTTTGCCAGGTATATGTGGACATTGAAGGGGCACATTTGAGACAGCCATTCCAGTTTTTCTCAAATTTTGAATTTTTACTTTGTGTCCATGTCCCATTTTAGAGTATTTTACAAGGCTATATAATCCAATTACACCATAAAGGCATACCATTTCTTAAAGAAGACATCCCAGGGTAATTCAGAAGGCATATTTTGAACCTTAGCGTGGGATAATTTTTCCGCAGGCTTGTACCAAGTGTAGTGGTAATGAGCATTTTTTAATGTATTTTTTTTACTTTGTAAAACCTGTTTTTAAACTTTTTTTTTTTTTACTTATTAAATGTTTTACACTTACATTTTTTTGTAAACTTTTCTTTTACCGTTAACCCCTAACTAGCAGTAAGCAGCACTAACAGTAAATTCCCCCCCACTCCAGCTAGCAAAAAAATATATATATATATATATATAATTATAAAATATTTAAATTAAATTGAACCTCTGAGGGTTAAAAAATAAACGTTAATCCTCAGGGGTTAAAAGAAATTAGATTACAGTATAATACTGTGATCTGTATTTTGATCACTGTAGGCAGTGATCAGCTGGCAGGGAAGGGGTTAATTTTTTATTTAGACTGGGTAAAGTGGGGTGGTATTTTTTACTTAAACGTTTTTACTTTACCTTTTTAAAGCTTATTTTAAAACTTTTAACGTTATACCCTAGTTAGCCTAACACCAAATTCCCCAATTCCCCACTAACGTCCACCCATCCCAGCTAGCTAAATATATAATTTTTAAATATTTAAATTAATAAAATCAGATGACATTAAAATGTATACCCTGCCAATTAATCACTGTAGACAGTGATCAATTGGCAGGGAAGGGGTTAATTTTATTAAGGCAGGGGAAAAGGGGGTGAGATTTAACTTTATTTTATTTTTTACACAGGGAGAATAGGATCAGCTCTGATCCATCTCCCTGCACTTCACACAGAACCCGGAAGTGCAGGGAGGCGGAAGGTAAGTACACTGAGCACATGTGCTCGCTCTGACAGCCTGTCAGAGCGAGCACCGGTGCTGGGGCAGCCCGATCGGGTGCTCCCGGGTCTGCCTCTAATACAGAGGCAGACAGGAACACCATTAACCCCTCGATCTGGGGTTAACTTTAGTAAATGACGGAAATTTTCTGTCAACGGTCCTTAACTGAAGGACAAGGTTGACGGAAAATTTCCGTCTGCGGTCGGGAAGGGGTTAACTCCTAAATGACAGTGAATTGAGCAGTGAAATTGCAGGGGAATGATCTATACACTAAAACTGCTTTATTTAGCTAAAGTAATTTAGGTGACTATAGTGTTCCTTTAAATCGAAGT